GAAGCCAGAGTGGGGGTGATGTGGAGCGAAGCCAGAGTGGGGGTGATGTGGAGCGAAGTCAGAGTGGGGGTGATGTGCTCCCTCTTATGAACACCAGTTAGAAGCTGAGCAGCAGCGTTCTGGACCAATTGGACATCTGAGGGAGGACTGGCTGATGCCAAGGTAAAGAGCGTTACAGTAATCCAGCTGAGATGTAACGAAGGCATGGATTACCGTTTCCAGCTGCTGCTGTGTAAGGATGGGCTTTACCTTAGCCAGCTATCTGAGGTGATAAAAACTGGCCTTGACCACTGCTCCAATCTGGCAATCTAATTACTGTCAATTTTAAAACCCAAGTTAGAAACTGTTTTCTTTACATGTGGTGCCAGAGGGCCCAGATCAACAGGGCAAGGTTCACAGGAGCCGCTATGACCAAACACCATCACTTCTGTTTTCCTTTCGTTAAAATTTAAAAAGTTTAAAGACATCCAGGCTTTGAGCTCTTCAAGACATAACAGAAGTGGCATCTTTCTTTTTTAGTGACATATAGATCTGACCATCGTCCGAACAGCAGTGAAAAAAGGTCCCATGCTTTCTGAGGATTGATCCCAAAGGATCAGGTAAAGTGAGAAACGCAGGGGACCTAAAATAGAGCCCTGTGGAACCCCCCAAAAACAGAGGAGCAGTCCATGACCCATGGATTGGTTTGACTGCATGTTTTATTCTCATTGAAGTCATTGCATTATAATTTATATAATGCCAATGTCAAGATATTTTTGACTACAGATCACAATCGCATCATCACCTGCAGACAAACTACTGTTAGTTTCTGTTTAATATCAACGTAATCTCCGTCAGTCAAATCCATTCCCAAATCTTCATTTCAGAGCTGGAAAAGGATGTGGATGCACTTACCATTTCTGAATAATTAACTATTTAAGCCAATAACGGTAGTGTTAGGCAATACGACATCAGGAAATGTGAAAATCCTAACATGCAGATAGTGGGATGGAAATAGAATCCCAGTGGACATCTTAACCTAGAGTTGACATTTAATGCAACACACTCCAGTTGTTACCTACCTGCTCAAAGGGACTCTTATTCTCAATGCCCTTAGCTCCAACAAACACCCAGCTGTCTCTAAAGGCTAACTCCTTCACCGCTGTGCTCCCGAGCTCCTCAAACAGATGCCGAGACTCATCATTCATTCTAAAAAACACAGGATGAATAGTTTACAAGTAGAAATGTGTTAACTGTTTAGACCATCAGCTAACTGCTCTATACATGTGAATATGGAAGGAAAAAAAGGCATTGTTTCAAGAACTTAAAGTTTGATTAATGTGAAACTTTTCAACAGAGGTACTGATCTGATAACTTTGTCTACAACTGAAATATCAAGTATGTAAATTAATTAAAATCTTGCAATCTTATTTAGAACATCAACAGTTTTCAATACAAGCAGGAGGAGGATTTCTGTCTCACTGAGAAATATTCAAAGTTTAGTTAGTATTGAAACTGTTGTTGTGTCCCTGTACCACCAACATGAGTTTAATTTTAGTCATTTTTGATTGAAATCTTTTGTTACCTCTTCAGTGCATCACTGTATATTTCAGGTTTTACAATTTGCCCTAAACATGCAAGTTAACTTTAAATAAAAGGATTTTGTTTAACATTATTTCTTCCTTTAAAAAAAAATTAGAAAAAAATGTATAAACATGAAATAAATGTCTTTTTGCAAAAAAAATAAGTAAATAAAATTGCAAAAATTGTTCTCAACAGTAAAACTGGCTGTAAAGATGTAAAATTGCCAATATTAGCTTACTTTTTTATCTTCTTTCGGCTGCTCCCTTCAGCAGGGGTCGCCACAGCGAAATAAGTCGCATGAAGACTTGGCGATTGTTTTTACGCCGGATGCCCTTCCTGACACAACCACAGACCACCGAGCTACCACAGCCCTCTGTGTGGAGCAGAGAGCTGCTATCTAGGACACCCGTACAGCAGAAGGTGGGGGTTAAGGGCCTTGCTCAAGGGCCCAGAGTGGGGCAAATGAGGGTGGAGGCAGGTGTGGGTGCTTCACCTTTCCCACCCACGTTTTGATGTTGTCGGTACTGGGAGTTGAACCTTCCGATCACAGGTCCACCTTCTCTAACATCTGTGCCACCACTCCCGCCAATATTAGCTTACTTATAACTTGTAAACCTGAATACTAATAAAACTAAAACAGCACTTAAATGAGACAAACAGTACATCAGTGATTCTTACTTTGTAGCACCATCATCGAAGGAAGCAACAAACACTAGAGTTCCCTCGTGAAGTGGCCGTAGAAACTTCAACAAGTCAGAAACATCTGAGAGGAAATAAAGGAGATGTGAGCTGCAATTTAGAAGCGACATGTAAAACCCAAACAAGATTACAAGCAAAAAGCTACACGTAGCAAAAGAACTGAAATATTTTCCAAGTATAATTGTCTGTTGGGTTTTATTACCTCCTGCCCACATGTCAAAAGTTTTTGTTTCCAAAAGGTCACCTGTCACGCCTGGAACAGAGAAACATCAGAATTATGGTAAATCTACCACAATTTGTAGATTTAAAAATGCAACATAATCTTATAAGTTTTGGAATGATGTCTCACCGTTTACCAAAGCTATGTTAAGTCCCCTGCCGACATTGTTCTTCACACTGCTCACCAATCTGTTGGGCACAGGCAGATTTTACTCATCAACATTCATGTACACATCTGTTTACTGTACCTGACCAAAGCACAGCAGCAACAAATGGAAAGACAATAAACACAAGCAGATTAAGGAGCAACAAACCAAAACAACACTTGCACTGAACTCTCCAGGCAGATTTGGTGGCCTGATGAGCACTAAATCTTACATCTTGTCTTCCAAGCAGATTTTGGGACCGATGACGTTAGCAGCACCAGACACTATACGGAACGCCAAATGCTTTGCAGGACATGGGGCAGAAAGTCCACATTTAAACTTTTGGGGACGTAGTTCAACTAAAAAAAAAACCAACAACAACAGCATGACACTTTAGTAAATAATGATAAACTCAAAAAAATCACTAACAGCTAAAAAGAGATTTGTTATACGATTCCTTATACTTACATTGTGTTGGTTCTGCTTTTGTGCCTGAAAACATAAACAAGATTTTGAATTAAATGGACATAAGATTTTTTTTTTTAACTTCTTTATACACATCCACTATGTCTTTATAAAATCTTATTAGAATAGCTCATTTTAAGCATTTACTAGCCATTTGGTTGTTTCCATTTTCAAAATTATTGGGGAAAAAATAAACAAACAATGATAGTTTTCAGTTATGGTAAATGGACTGTACCTATATAGCATCTTTCTATCTTATCAATACACTCAAAGCACTTTACAACAATTTGTGCCCTCATTTACCCATTCATACAGCACTCTACTAGATCTATACAAAGACTAATTAGTGCTTTATCACATCCATACACTGATGGGACACATTGGAGACAATGAGGGGTTCAGTGTCTTGCCCAGGGACACTTTGGCATGTGCCTGCTGGTGGAATCAAACCCCCAACTCTTGCATTGGAGGACGACTGCTCTAACCACTCAGCCACAGCCGCCCCACAACAAAGAAGGTTAGTTCAATTTATGTATATATTGTATTGTCAATTCACAACAACATCTCAGTGCCCTGTACAAATAAAAAAAGAAAAGGAAATCATATTGGAAAACACATCCAGCCATCAGCTTTTACCCGCTTCTTCCATTTTGGGTCACGGAGGTCGCCGGTGCCTATGTCCAGCAATCACTGTGTGAGGGGCGGGGTACACCCTGGACAGGTCTCCAATCCATCACAGGGCCACATAGAGACAAACAACCATTCTCTCTCTCACTCACACCTAGGGACAATTTAGAGTTCCCAATCAGTCTAACATGCATGTTTTTGTTCTGTGGGAGGAAACTGGAGTACCCGGAGAAAACCCATGCAAGCACAGAGAGAACATGCAAACTCCACCCAGAAAAGCCCCCGGACCGGGATTTGAACCAGGGATCTGCTCGCTGAGTGGCAGCAGCTCTGCCAGTTGTGCCACCGTGCTGCCCTTAGAAAACATCAATCAGTAAAATTTATCTAAAAAAGCCATCAGATTTTATTGAATCTAAAATCCCTCATTTCTGACAAAAAATGAACTTTTTCCTCATCTGCTAGTCCATCGATCAAGTAAAAGATGTCTTACCACCAAAGAGATGTCGCAGAGATGAAACACCTTCCGCTCCAAAAAAGGAGTTTGCGAGCAGCCAGGTGAGCCCCACCAGGAGCAACACACCCACAGCTCGCACAGGGCCTGTAGGAGAGTCCGAACACATGAGCGTAGGAAGAAAAAAAAAAAACACTCATCAAATTAATCACTGAACTGGACCAGAACTTACAACCCACCTGTCATTCTCATAGCTCACCGTTTCCTATACCTGTACAAAGGAGAAAAAACAAACAAGAAATTAATTGTGGGGTTTTGTTTTAGCATTACTTGCTGGGTTTGCTAATGCAATTGCTCATTGATCAAAATTTGGTTAAACTTGTTTTATTTTTGTACATACACACTGGCTTCAGCCAAATGATGACACATTTTAGGTATGTGTCTAGGAGAGACTAAACTTGACTAGGATGTTCACCGACAAATCTTACTTCTACTCCGTGGAATGAAAAAGCATATGTTTAACCATACAGATCAAACCAGTTCAGTCTTCCTGATTATTTAACTATGAACAAGAGTTGACGACATATTTTGCAGTGAAGGTTAGTAGGAGTCTTTGCTTGATTTTTAAAGATAATCCACAATTAGCTCTGTGGATGAATTTCTTGGAGTTTCTCAATCCACAACAATCTGGCGATTTAGTCATCACTTGTCTGAAGTTCTCCTTTAGAGGATGTATTAAATGAACAGTCATTTTAAACTCCTTTTGATAAAGTATTCATTGTCTTAATAAATTGTTTTAATTTGCAATACAAAATGAACACAAAATGTTCATTTCTACTTATTTTGTTTGAATGCTTCACTTACAATTGCACTTAAGTTGAAACATATAAACTAGGCAAAATTATTGATTTGGAGTAAGTATACGTTTAAAAGTAAAGCAATTTGAAAGAAATAGCACATTTTCAGTTCTTAAAACTTTGTTTTGTAAAAACACGCGAAAAAAAAACCAATGAAAACTTATAAGAAAATAACTAGCCTATAGTTAAATACATGAACATAAGGCAATAAAAGTTCTTGACATTACTGAACACCCACATTAGAACTATAATCACACATTTTACCTTCCTAATTGAATTCCTGCGGATTTCAAGTATCGTCTCGACTTTTTCGTCTTTGCTAGGACTTATTAATCATGGACGTACACGCGGAAAGGCAAGCTGGATCTGCTCTCATCCTTCGGACATTACAGCTTCCTGCGCTTCATAGGAGCATTTTTGATGAAAAAAACTTTTTGAAGAAAAAAAAAAAAACCTTAAAGACCAAACAAAATGGTCTTGAAGTTGAAGTCTTAACCACTGCGCCCTCGAAAAGAACGTACAAATTATGTTAATTTAGTTTTACTTCCGGATACTACTTCGTGCGCACTGAGTCTGCGCAAGTATCGTCACGTGATGAACGTTTTTTTTTTTTTTAATTTATAAATATTTTCCTTTTCCTTTATGTCTCACCAAACATTTAAAAAATAAATACAATATAATTTTTTAATACTTTATAAAGATTAACAAAACTAAATGTAAACAAATGCGCGAGCACAACAGCTCCTCACGCGGAGCTGCAAGCGTCTACTCCCTTAAAATCAAGATGGCGGCCCACAGTGCGTTTCTCTCAGTTTCCAAAATTGTAAATCCTTTCTGGCGTAGACGCCTTGGAAATACGACTAAAGTAAGGAACGACAAATCTTTTTTGTTATTTTTGCTTTTAAAGATGATCTGCTGCGTTGTCTAAAATTAATTTACTTACATTGAACACAAGGTCATCGTGTGGTTAAACTAAACAAATGTTCACAAGACTAACATAAACGAACCTTTCGTGTATTTGTTTGTTTGTTTTTTTCAGATATTTGGGACAACTTTGACAAGTCACAGGAACAAAACATTTCTTTCTGTGCGTAATCAGAACTGTGCATGTTTTACATCTAATTTACATTTTTATTACTGAATCAATGAGCTGTCTATAATCACTGCTACTTGTTTATTTACAAAGTAAAATAGTTTATATATATATATATATATATGTGTGTGTGTGTGTGTGTGTATATATATATATATATATATATATATATATATATATATATATATATATATATATATATATATAAATAAAAGAAGTTTGTATCGATATAAAGTAATACATGCTTCCTTATATAGGACATTGTATAGCTACCACTGTGTTTGTCACAATTTGATGTTTTGTAACACAACAGTTAAACTTCTGCTTTTCTTCCTGTCAATCTTCATCAACAGAGAGAAAACATTGTAAGTGGCCAGTTGTTGATTATATTTTATTACAGCGCTTTAGTTCACATACAAGAAGAAATGTGTATTTTTAATAAAGAAAATTTAACAAAAACAAGCCAAAGCTTATACTGTGATAAAGAATCTGTTTCAAGAGGGTTTCTTGCCATGTCCTTTTCATATCACACAAAAATTTTAACTTTAGAAGTGCACTGATACATTAATATAATAATAAACTAAATCAAAACATGTATGTAGACTGTTGTACAATATTGAGTGAAAGTTGCAAACCCACCAGTGTTTCTCTTATGTTAAAACATCTGTTACTGTGTTGTTTACAGCCCCCTCCTGCAAAGTATGGAGGCAAACATACTGTGACCCTCATACCTGGAGATGGAATTGGCCCAGAGCTTCTCAGTCATGTCAGAGAGGTTTTCAGGTTGGTAGGTTGGTTAGCTTTAAACTGTGATCTGTTTAAAATCAACTACCAACTGGTGACAACTTTCTCTGATGTTTGTAATCATACCTGTAGGTTCAGCTGTGTCCCTGTGGACTTTGAGGTGGTTCATGTCAACTCTGCCTTGGAGACAGAGGATGATATCAATAATGCAATTACTGCCATCCGCCGTAATGGAGTTGCCCTTAAAGGTGAGTTAAACTATTTTATTTGTTTGTTTATGTCGCAGTCAGAGCATGGAAATATAGGATGTAAGATCTGTGAGTAGCAGAGCAGTTATAGTGAACCATGATAAAGCACAGACAGCAGAATTTCTTTACTCCCCTGATAGGCAACATAGAAACCAAACATACCATGCCTCCATCTGTGAAATCCAGAAATAATCTCCTACGGTAAGTGTTAAATGAAACTTTCCATTTCCTCAACAGAGTTCTCTTTTTGTCAGATAGTTCATGTTTCTTATTTAATTTGGTCCTTTGTGATTGTTTTGCCCGTCGTGTTTCTCCTTTCAAAGCACAAGCTTAGATCTGTACGCCAATGTGATGCACTGCCAGTCCCTCCCTGGAGTCCAGACTCGTCACAAGAACATTGACATCATGATCATTAGGGAGAACACAGAAGGAGAATACAGCAGCCTGGAGCACGAGGTCAGGCCAAAAAAGATCAATAATTGTCTGTCCCAAAATGAATGTTTTTTCCTTTTGTCCTGTATAGACCACTTTCAAACCTTTTTGTTCAGTTTTGAAATGTGATGTAGAGAATGTAAAATAAATGTGCGGCACCTATTGACATCATTGTTCATCATTAAACTGACTAGTGTGATTTCGCTCAATATAGAAAAAAGTTTTATTTGTAAAATTCAGTTGAGAATTGATATGTTGTTGGAGTGTGACTTTACCTACACAACAAATAAGAAACATAAGCCAGCTCTAGAGTCTCACATGCTGTTGGAAAAATAGCTCCAAGCACCGTTACTACAGTTAATGGTCAATTAGTGTCAAAAGCCAAAATCTGTGGGTTTTGCTAAACAATCTTGTTGTTTCAAGTTTATTTTTTGCTCTTTAAGTTCCAGCTGTAGAACTGTAACTGGTGCAAAGTATTTAATGTTTTGACTCTTTTGTTTTAGAATGTGTCAGGGGTGGTAGAGAGTCTGAAGATCATCACCAGGAACAATTCCCTCAGGATTGCTGAGTATGCATTCCAGCTTGCCAGGGAGAAGGGTCGCCGCAGGGTCACCGCTGTGCATAAGGCTAACATCATGTAAGTTACTTTGAGGCAAACGTTAACTCCCTGCACAGTCTGGCCTAGTAAGTCTTATATAATGTGCATTAATTGTTTTGATGGAAACATAGAGTGGCCTTTTTATTCTCTTCCACAGGAAGCTCGGTGATGGATTGTTCCTGCAGTGCTGCAGAGAAGTGGCTGCTGGATATCCAGATATCACATTTGACTGCATGATTGTGGACAACACCACCATGCAGGTGATAACTTGTTCACATTCAGAACTGATTCTTGGTAAATGCAAACATCTGGAATAAATTTACTGCAAGTATAACACACTGCATGAAGCAAATTTAGTCCATGGAACAAATAGAAAACATAAAGTTGAGCCTATGGGTAGGCAGAAAACATTTAAGCTATATAAATAGCTACTATACACAAGTTGAATATTCGGCCACATCTGCTTATGATTTGAATCTGCAGCTAAAGATGCACCTAAGCAAATGTGAAGATTTTGTTTGTATTCAGGCAGTACAGCTTTTATATTTAAAATATATGAAATGTGAGTCTGTACAGCTTAAAATAATGCAAATTAAAAAGGTGATGGTTTCTTTGTTTAAAAAAAATGCATCTTTGTATGAAAATAGGAATAATTAGTTTGAGCAGGTTTAGGGTGAATGTCTGTCACTGAAGCCACTCATCTGTCACGTGATTGAGCTACACAGACAGTGCTGGGTGTTGTTCATAGAAGAAAGTAGCTTAGTCACCAGGAAGTCCAGTGTAGTGCCTACTTGTCTATTCATGCTTTTTGAGGTGGTCTGTGATTCATGTCATCAAGCGTGGGTCCACCTTTCTCTGTCAGCTTGTTTTTAATAAAGTTGGATGGCAGTAAAAGTGCTGGATAAAACAAAGAACATGATTCTCACTGCACCACTCCCTCTCACCACTCTGTCAATTTCAGAGTAAGCCCTGTGCAGCAGGTAGATTGTATTGTTTATTTTGATTTTTGCCTGGTATGCAAAATGTGCAAAATAGAAGGTTTTTGCATGCGACCACAAAGATGAGTCTTTCTTTAAGCTCGATTCAGTTGTTCACACATGAATCAGTCAGTCCTGCTAAGACCAGCAACGATGTGTGTTTACACTCATGAAACCAGCAAAGTGACAGCAGTCTCATAAGGTACTCTTTCACTGGGTTGAAAGTTGGTGACTCAAAATTGCTGGCAAAAATATGAGAAAACAAGCTATTTTTTTTGTTACATTTTAAATCTGAGTGTTTGAGACAAGCAAGCTATAGGTCTTGTTTTGAGCAAAATTTTAGCCAAATTTTAAAAAGCACAGTATATCGCCATGTGCATGTCTTGCAAAACAGCATCTAGGCTTTTTTGTTTTTATCTGTACCAACTTCTGCAGTAGATGACGACACGGGAGTGGATTTTCACTCCTGTCTTGTTCTGGTCCCACAGAAAAAATCCTGTCCCGTCCCAATTGTGGGCCAGAGTAAAAAAATAAAATAAAATAAACTCCCACTCCTGGTAACATGACTCCTGCTACCATCCTGCTCCCATTCATAATCACTCCCACTCTTGTACCGCTCCCTTTTTTCCCCTCTTCCATTTAGTCTTTAGGAAATACATTAAATTTGATTTTATCTTCTACCCATTCCTTTTTAGATTACTTTGTGTTCTAAACTTTTATTTCAAAAGAACAGGAACAGTACATATGTGGTGAAGCATTTATTGCCTTAATCCAAACAAAAACCTTCACTAAAGGTCACAAAACAAATAATACATGGCCTGTAGTTCCTATAAAAAAGGTTTGTAAGCTTAATAATCAGGTAGATAACAACAAAAATGGTTGTCATCTGAACCAGTTTTTTAATATGAAAAAATGAAATGTGTGGTTCCTATAGTTTTTCTACAGAGGATCAGCTGCTGAGTCCCTGTTTATTAGCTCTTTTGGAGATCAGTTACAGTATAAACATAAAATAAAAAAACAACAGTACATGGGTCACACCATGAACCCAAGCATAACATATAAAGTTGCATTTTACTAACTTATTGAGCAATTGTTTCTTTTAAACAGTGACATTACTGTCATGCTTCAATTCAAATTGCTTAAACAGACAAAAAAAAAGTGCCAAGCGAGAGAACTCAACGAATAAAAATGCTTAAAGGCATTCTTATACATTGGACGACGTCCTCAAGAAGTTCACAGTAACGAGCTCGTTTCGGTGAAGCAGGACGTCGCGCAGCTTACCAGACTTCAGAGCATCATTTACAGACTGGAGAAGTCTGATATTCCAGAGTGAAGATTTATTGAAAGAAAACTACAAAATAGTGCCTGTCCAAAGTATTTTTAAATTTAATTTAATTTTTTTGTCATATTTGTTGGTTCCCGCTCCTGTCTGGTCCTGTTAACTTTTCGTCCTGTCCCATCCCAATCATGTGAGTTATACTAAAGTTGACTCCTGTCCTGCCAGAATCCTGCGGGAATCCCATGATCCGCGGGACTCCTGGGAAAAAAATATCATCCTATATTCTGCAGCTGCCCCTACATTTATGGTTGAATCTACTGGAGTATATTTTAACAATTCAGATAAGCAGATTTTTTTTTATTATTCTTGTTTATCATTGGTGGTGGGATTTATTTTTTTTTTTAACTTGGGACAAGTTTTCTGTTGGAGGAGTGTCCTTGCAGGTGTTAAATGCAGATGTTGCGCTTGTGAGATGGGTTGGAGATGCCTGTGACAGAATAGAGAAGAATCTGAGACACCTGCAACGATGTCGCAACAGTTTTTAGAAGAAAATGTCTCGCGCAATTTGAAAGCGTTCTAAATTCAAGCGTAAAAACTGCCGTTGGGCCTCCAGCAAGGAAATTAAGAACATCGCAAGATATTCTGGAGCCTCCCTTGTGAACGCTGTTTTTCAACTAGTCGTGAGCAGTCACAGCCCAGTGAGACCTTCAGAGTGTAGCTTTGTACTTGCATCCCCCCACTTACACATACTTACCATCTCAACCCTTACCACTTTAGATGTGTAACAGCAGTGAATGAGTCCAAGCTGTTTGCCCCTCACTTATTTCTTACATGACAATGATATAAAAAATGTGTAGCAGGCTGAACAGAAAGTGTTTAAATGACATGAAACTGATGTAACTTTTCTGTCAAACCTGTTAAAAACATGCTAATCTGGTTCTGACTCGGCCTTTACCTCTGTTTTTTTTTCTTGCTCACTGAGATCATTTGTATTCCATCTCAGCCCTCCCTCATGTTTCTGTTCTGGTTGAGACGATGATAATGAATTAGGGAAATGTTTGCAAACGTTTGAATGTATTAATTATTAACATGCCACTGTTCTATTGTGTTTTTAGCTTGTGTCCAAACCTGAGCAGTTTGACGTAATGGTGATGCCTAATCTGTACGGAAATGTTGTCAGCAACGTTTGCGCCGGTCTGGTGGGGGGTCCTGGCCTTGTGCCTGGTGCCAATTATGGCTGTGACTACGCTGTATTTGAAACGGTGAGTGACTGCGCATTGGTAGGATACTTAGTTCTATTTTATTAGTTAAAAAAAAAACATTAACTCTTACATGTTTCTGGATTTAAGGCGACGAGGAATACAGGGAAAAGTATTGCAGGCAAGAACATTGCTAATCCCACTGCCATGCTGTTAGCCAGCTGCATGATGCTAGACCACCTCAAGTAAGCTTTTATTTTCAGTGTGTAGATTTAATCTTACCATTGCGTTATTCTAATACAAATGTTTTTCTTGTACCTTCTCAGGCTTTATGATTATGCAAACTTGATCAGGAATGCAGTTCTCACCACAATGAATGAAACTAGGGTGAGTCTATCTCTGACCGGCCTGTGCACACACCTGTCAAGCTGTCCTAAAGATAGTAGGCCATTTTTGTTTGATTCAAGATTACATGCCCCTGTAGCATGCTTCCTAGAAGGAAGTACAATGCGTTCTCACAAAGCAGCATAGTTTCTGTATACAGTCACACAGCTCGGTCAGGTTCTACGTGCTGTAGTGTTTGATTTTTCATTATGAGCTTCATCAGTTTCAGGAAGTTCATTTATAAACAGTAAGTTGCTTAAAGTCATATTGTCATGGTCTTTTTTCCCAACCTGATTACTGTTTCAAACTACGTATGACCTAAAATCTCATTCCACGTTGCTAATTGTATTTTTTTAAATTAATTTTTTGTATTATCTTCCAGTGGGTTTGAATATTTTACTATTATCTCGGACCGCGTTTGTCAGCTTCATGTTGTTGTTCTTACAGTTGCACACAGCAGATCTGGGAGGTCAGGGCACCACATCAGAGGTGGTCCAGTCCATCATGAGGATCATCCAGAGTAAAGGACAGCTCACTTTAGAGATCTAACCCACGCTGACATCACAGTTCTTCCACTTCATCAGTGGGTCTAAAGAGGCGTCTGCATCCAGCCAGGAACAGGAAGTTTGTTGTAGCTTCACACAGATTACTGATCAGTTCGCTCAGAAGAAAACATCTGTCCACTCCTGTCTTGATTCATGTACAAAACAAAGTAAGCTGCTCTGAGACTTCTTAAACTCTTTTTTTTTTTATTAAGTTCTTGTTCACTCTTTTGAGATAATGAATTCTTCTGTAAGACTAGTTTTTGCTACGGTTTCAACTGAGCAGCGTTTATCAATTTCAGAACTGTGTCTTCACAAATTGACACATTAAAGGGCCTCTAACTATTGTTGTATGCATTCACCAACGTGAATTATTTATTTTTCACATCCGAACTATGTTACAGCCTTTTCTAATCAACCAGAATATATAATGTTTATGCACAGCCATAACATTTTCTTGTCCCTTTCACGTATATTTATACTCGCCGTGTGGAAAATGCTGATCCAGCTGTTTCCATTTATATTCTGTCATTAGACCAGAATACATCAAGTAGCTGCTGTGAGCTCAGCTTTTATGTTTGTGCCACAGTGGTGTTTATATCCAAGTGGATTATATTTCAAGGTTTTGTTAACAAATGCTCTGATATTACAGCATGTTCCTTGTAAGAGGATACCTTTACTGTATTACATGATCAATAAAATTTTCCCAAGTGTATTTCATGAAAATAAGTTTAGTTTTTATTTATACTTGTGTTTAAAGTTGGAGTAAATCAATTTTAGTAGAGGTTAATTTGTCAGATGCATAAAGCTAAATATTTCTGACCTCTCACGGACCAGGACAAACAGATGTGGCAGATGTTGTCACTGAGTTAGGAGTGGATAGTTTAATGGTCGCCAACACCACCGGGCCAGAAACTCTTCAAGACCCTCATAAGTCTGAGGCTGGTGGGCTAAGTGGCCAACCCCTGAAAGACCTTTCAACTAACTGTCAGAAAAATGTACAGCCTCACCGAAGATAAAGTGCCAGTTGTTGGGACTGGAGGTGTTTGAGTGGACAGGATGCGATGGATAAGATCCGTGCTGGTGCTTCATTGGTTCAACTCTACACAGCTTTGACCTATCAAGGTCAACCAGTAGTGACAAAAGAACTGCAGCAACTTCTTAAGGATCAAGGTTTCAGCTGTGTGTGAGGCAGTCGGAGCCGATCCCAGGAAATGTTGACACAAACCCTCAGTGATTCACAAAAACTAGCCAACGACTCCTTCAACAAAACAACCATCACCTTCTCCTTGGCTTCTATATAGTCTGACTTTTTGTGATTGTCTCATTCGTCCTGCTTTTTAGAGTAGCAGCTATATTATGGCATCTTTAATAAATTACTTTTTTTTTTAAAGGTAATAATAGTAAATCTTTTATGTATTTCCAGTATTAAGCTGCTGATATCCGTAGCTTGTTTTCAGCTGATTGAGTTGTGTTACAGTGTAAAAGCAATTAGTGTTTTTTATTGACAACAAAGTGCTTTAACTCATTTTGCAAACATCAGAGTCAGAGATTTATTTGCTTTTCGCATCTCATGTGGTACATGTGATGGAACGAGATTATGTACACAGGGTCCCAGTTACACCCAACAATAAAATGTAAAGAAAAACAGTAATACGATCTAAGATATGAACTAAGAAAAATATCAACTAAATAATAGACTAAGTACTAATAACACAAAAGCGTCACGTTGAACAGAAGCACGAACATGAGTCTGTGTGAGCAGATGAGTACGCATGAACACAGCAACATGAAACAGATCAGCAGCAACATGAAACCGATCAGCAGCAACATTGAAAAAGATCAGCAGCAACATGATGTGACTTTTTCATGTGATTTTTTTCATATAGCTACAAGTTGTTTCATATATGTGAAGAAAATAAATCGTTATATCTGGATAAAATGTCAAACCCAATACAGTTTAAACACGTACTCAAATTTACCTATTGCGATATTTTACTCCTTTTAAAAATTAATGGTATTGAAAAAACGGGTTTAGGATAAAATAACCCCAAACAAAATAACAGTTTTATTTTATGGCTGTTTATTGTTGTGTGTACCTTTAAAACAGGTCTCTCTCTTGTCAATGAGTCCTCATGAGACTGTATAAATAAAGGTTGAATGAAAATTATTTTCAGTCTTGTAGCCGTCATTCTTTCACAAATTCTTTAATGTTTTAAAGAGATGTGTCATTTTGCAGTCATGAGGCTGTAGTTTTTGGTATGAATAAATATGCTGCTTAGAAGAAAAACATTAACATCTTCCCCTCATAATCCTTGGAAGACATGTTAATTTACATTTCATCACTAGGTGGCAACAACTTTCTGCAGCTGCCTTGGAGCACACATGTATGGGTACCACTTTACAATAAGGCTCCCCTTATAGAAGGCTAATAAATAGTTTATAGATACGTATGTATCTATTAATTAAGGTTATTAATTCCTCTGTAAACACTTTATAAATCATTAATCATTGCTTATTATGCAATAATTAAGGATGCGAAAGAGACAAAACTGACCAGTTTCTGGCCAAATAGTGAGCCAAATCATATTTCATCTTGAGTTGTTATATTAAACATTTCAGACTAAGTTACTACCTTGTAAACACAATAAGCATGTCATTTGTAAACCTTTTTTTTTAGCATATAAAATTGCATATAATGCAGTGATAAAGTACAATATTATATGCAAAAAATATTAGGCTTTCAAGTATTGTGCTTACAAGGTAGTAACTTACTTGAAATGTTTAATATAACAACTCTAGATGAAATTTATAGGTGGAAGATTTGGCTCATTATTTGGCAAGAAACTTGTCAATTTTGTCTCGGTCACCCTTAATTAATGCATAAGCAGTGATTAATGATTTATAAAGTGAATTAATAACTTATTTATTAGCCATCTATAAGGGGAGCCTTATTGTAAAGTGTACCCAGATATGGATGCAGGAACGTTTTGTTCTAGAAAATAGAAAGACTTGACAACATGCTCATAGAAATCATTGTTTACTTGAGTTGTACTGAAGGGTAGAAAGAGCAGAAAGTTTCTATAAACAACCGAACTGAATTGAGAATTGAAGTAATCAGTTATCCATAAATCAGACTTTTTCTTAAAATTTCCATTTTCAAAACAAACTGTTTTTCCAGTCTTTAAAGGAAAAAAAAAAGGTGACTGATAGCTCCACCTTGTAGAACGGTGCTCTGATCACACAGGCAGGGAAATAAAATCCCCAGCAAACAGATGTGATAGCAGTGCACTGTTCACTTCTCTCTGACGTATGTTGTTAAAATAATCACAGTCCACCTCTCTCTGTGATAAAGTCCCGGCAGTTAAAGGGGCCCATCTGAACGTAATGATCCTGACTAATTTATCATCTGGCCAACTTTGTGGGAAAGTTGCAAACTTTACCCTGTTTGAACATTTGCATATGGAGCAGAGAAGTCCTTGGAGATGAGGTCTGTTATTTTTTATTTTAATCTTGTTTCAGAGAATCAATTGTGCACAATTGCACAGCGTGTGAAATGTGAGATAATTTGTTTTAGATGACCTCTTACACTTCTGCCTGTTCTTTAAGCCACTTATTGACTCCATGAAAACAGACAGCTGGCTGTATTTCAGGAGTGTCTCTCATCCAGAGCAGCTTTTTCTGATCAGTATATTCTACAGTACTCGTGTCCATCTACCTCACATCACTTCTCATCACAGTTGTAGAGCGTTACTCATGCCCCTTGTCACCTCTCCCCTCCAGTTCCCCTCTCGGAGCTGCAGCTCGGTCCCCTCTGAGTCTCAGCTGGAGCTGAGCCCCGGAGGCAGATGGACCCAGGTTTGGAGAAAGTAGGAGATGTTGCAATAAACCACCGGCCATATGACCTCGTTTAAAAATGCACTGCCATTTGTGCTGCAAGAGTTGCCTCTTAAGAGATCAGCAAAGGACAAAAACAATATTCTTCACATTTGTTGTGTTGGAATTGTAGCTGTGCAAAAGGTTTAGGGGTTTCTATGCACCCAGTTTTATAGATTTGTCTGGAAAATATCAGCTTTCAGTTATTCCACTTTTATTAATAAGGAAAAATAACTTTAGGAAGATTCAGTAGACTGTCTTAATTTGCTTTATCTATTTGTTTTTAAGGTTTTTACTTGAGTTGTATACAGAATGAGACTCATCTCACCTTAGTGCCAAATGTATTAAACTAAAACGGGATAAATAAGAGGTTGTAGTTTGTTGTTTGAACTGGTTGATTGATGGTCTTTTTGAGACAGCCAGTGTGTTTATGACTTTCTTTGCTGTGTTTGTGGAGTGAACATTTAAAAGTGCTTAACTGCATTAAATTCAGCTTTGATTTTCCTCATCTACAAACTGAGTTTCTTTTCTCATCTCTGCTGTTCTTTATCCAAGCAGAATCATCCAGGAAAACTATGAACTGATTAAATCAGATTTCCTAGAAGTCTAGTCGACAATCATTCCAACAACCTTTAAATCATTAAAACGAAACCTCGAGCTGCTGGCAGAGAACAAACTTACAGTTCAACTTTGGTCCTCCACTTTTTCTTCTTCTTAATTTTTCTCTTCGTTATCTCACTTTGGGGCGGCATGGTGGTGCAGTTGGTAGAGCTGTTGCCTCTCAGCGAGGTCACCGGATCAAATCCTAGCTGGGGAGCTTTCTGGGTTGAGTTTGCATGTTCTCTCCGTGGATGCGTGGGTTTTCTCCGGGTGCTCCAGTTTCCTCCCACAGACCAAAAACATGCATGTTAGGCTGATTGGTAACTCTAAATTGTCCCTAGGTGTGAGTGAGAGAGTGAATGGTTGTTTGTCTCTGTGTGTCCCTGTGATGGACTGGAGACCCCCGCAACCCAAAAAGAAAGAAGCGGGTAAAGATAATGGATGGATCTCTCACTTTGAAGCATCATGTTTAATTTGCCTTTCAAAGATCAAAGTAACTGAGTAAATAATGAAACATGTGTTGCAGACATTAGAAAATTAGTCTCTCCCCCCCGACCACCACCTAAAGCTGATTATTTCCAGTCTCATTCATCAGTTTATTGGATTCTCACATATTTATCCAACGTCAAACTAAGATTTTGCTCTGATTCTGTTCAGGTACCTGTGCTTGTCTGTTTTCCCCAAAATGAACCAGTGTGCATAATCCTGGTTTATTCCAGGATTCACTCAATCATTTCCATTACAACACCTATAGCTGTAATTAAACTGTAGTACTGAGTGCAGGAGGGTCTCGTTTTCGAACACAGCTATAGCCAGTCAACAGCTTTCCAACATTTTTTTTTTCCTCTCTTAAAAAACTGCTTTTAACCATTTCAAGTTACGTCAGCACTCAGCTATTCAGTGAAACTCCAGTTTGTATTCTGGGCTCTCTGTCCTCGTGGCTTTCTCTTCACAGTGTTTTCATCGGTAAAGAAATCCCTTATCAAACACACATTAGGGAGGGATGGTTGGTGGTCTGTGATGATGTATGTTTGGCCGAAAATGGATGTGAAGAGAAGGTCAGACAAGAAAATGCAAAAAGGAATTAAAAGCTTAATTATGCAGGGATGCATATCACCCGCTGCCTTTCATGCCAGAGTCCCAGACTGAGATCATCTTTTGATGACAAGGGACAGAGTTGTAGCTGTTTTGATCGAATCTTATAGATTCAATTCAATCCCATTCAAA